AGTCAGTTTGAATAATTTGTGTCATTAGAGGGCTTTTGATTAAAAAATGAAACTCTTGTTATTAAGGGGAGCTCAACAGAGATGACTACTCAGACACAGCGTATGGACAATTGAAAGTCTTTATTCCAGCCAGCTGGGACCATACCCAAGTATTTGGGTGAGGGAACCTAAGTGTAGACCTGAGGGTCCAGATAATGGGAGTTTTTAAGGGCAGAGACCTTGCTGAGTATCTCACTAGGCAGCTGCAGAGGGGTTTCATGGAGTGAGGAGTGTGAAGCAAGCAGTTTTAACAGAAGCTAAGAGGCACAGTTAACTAGCAGGAGGTAGGGTTCTGTACAAACAGGCAGTATAGATAAATGGTTAGCTGGATGAGGTTCCACACAAACAAGTAGTTTTTACAAAGGCTAAGAAAAGTTAGCTAGGGCATCCTGATCTTGGGTTCCTAGAATAGAACTGGGTAATTTTCCATGGAATTCTCTATCAAGGAGATCAAATTCTAGTTAAACCTGAAATGGCCTCAGCAAGGATACAAGGTGGGGGGATGACTGCACTGCCTTGCCTTGTCACATTGTGAGCAATACTGATTTTATCTTGATAATTTTATAATACCTGCATACATGCATGGCAAATCAGATAATAAAACATCTAGCTTCAACAGTATAAAAGGATTTATTGTGGGGTGGGGGTGGTGCATGTCTTTAATCTCAGCACTTGGGAGGCAGAGGTAGGTGGACCTCTGTGAGTTTGGGGCCAATCTGGTCTACAAAGCTAGGGCCAGGACAGCTGGGTCTACACAAAGAAACCCTGCCTCAGGGGAGAAAAAAAGACTGTATTGCCCGCTTAAGTGATAGCTTTCTTTCTAAAACCTGAAATAGTCCAGCTCAATGCTGAAAAAAATACATGTATATTTCACACAGAAATCATGCAGAAATCTCTCTATACCTGTCAGTCCTTTGGTGACTTCCTGTTTTGTATTTAAATCCATTCAGACTGCAGTCTCTGTGGAAGCCAGGAAGAAGATCTGCATCTCCTGGAGCTTGTTTAATGAGAGCACAAGGTCAGAAGATGAAGCTTATGACATAAACTTGAGGCAAATCTTTCCCTGTTTCCCCAGTGCTTTGCAGAACAACTCTAGTTATAAATAATGCAACATGGAGATTCATTAGTGACCATTTCCCCCACATCCCAAAACACAGAGTAGACAAACTATCACAAGAATGCACCTTATTCAGATTGGATGTGGTGGCACACACCTTTAATCTCAGCACTCAGGAGGCAGAGGCAGGTGGCTCTCTGTGAGTTAGTGGCCAGCCTGGTCTACAGAGATATTTCTAGGACAGCCAGGCCTACACAGAGAAACCCTGTCACAAGCAACAACAAAATGCACCTTTTCCTTTTCTTCTCCGTAGGGTCATAACCATAGTCAGACAAATTTGTTAGGACATACCCCAAAGACCTTTGGCCAGGAAGGGAGCTATGTCATGCACTCCACAGGTAGAGCTTTGAAGTAGACCAGCAGAAAGGAAGAGAAAGATTCCTTTAAACCACAGGCCAAGGGACCATGAGCCAGGAAGTGGGGAGCAAAGCAAAGCAAGCCTGAACAGAACGCTAAGTGCTACTAAGCCAGAGAACAAGCTATCTATAATCTGAGAACAAAACCTATTTAACTCTTAGTACAAATGATAGGGAGTGGTGGAAGATGGGAAAGGGAGGTCTACCATCGAAAACACTGAGCTCTTGGTAGAGTTTCCCAATCTAGACCTCCGCACCCCTCACTGCAGTCCAGGCACAGAGCAGGACTCCTTGATAACTCAGTGGCTGAACAAAGTCCCCCATGTTGTCCCAGTATGGTCACTGAAATATGTGATTGGAATACTGAAGCTCACAATATATGCTATACAAACACCAACATGCAGAAACAAAAATAGAAACTTCTTTGGATACATTTTTTTAGATATATTTATTTATGTGTATGAGTGTTTGCCTACATGTGTGCACAAGCACATGTTGCCTGGGGCCTGTGGAGATCAGAAGAGGGCATCAGATCCCCTGGAACTATAGTTATGAATGATTGTGAGCCACCATGTGGGTGCTAGGAACTGAACCCAGCCTGATCTATATAGTAACCTACGTAACAGCCAAGGCTACATAGTGAAGCCCTGTCTCAAAAATTATTAATTAATTAATTAATAAACATGGGGAGATAAGAAGTGAGGAGGAAGGAAGGAAGCTAGCTAGCTAGCTCAGCAAAAATTGGAGAGCAAGGCCATAATCTGTGCTCCCCATGGTCAGTCCCTGCCTCCAAGTTCCTGCTTAAGTACTTGTCCTGACTCCCCTCAATGATAGACTATGACCTGGAGCTGTAAGACAAACAAACCCTTTCCTCCCATGAGTTGCTTTTGGTTATGGCATTTGTCCCAGTGAAAGAAAACAAATTGGAACTAAAGATTTACATAAGTTATCTACAAATACTAAGTCATTGTACATAAATGACTAGGAAATACATGGATTTTGGTTTCCACGGGGAGAATGGAGCCAATTTCCCAAGAATACCAAGGAACAACTCTGTTCCTTGTAATGAGGTCAACCACCTATGAAAAGCAACTGCTCACACTTATTCCCTTCTCAAAATTCAATACCAGCCTCACTGATGGGAAGTGTGATACCAGTGATAGGTGACTTCATATTTGAGTGAAGACAGATGGCGCATTACAAGACAGAAGTTAGCAGGCTGCTACCCACGGTCTTCTAGAAGAGGCTTTGGCTATCTAGTTCTGGGAAGGACAAAGGCAGCCAGCTCCTGTGTCTTGATTGTATCAATCCTTATAAAATATGACAATGTCCCAACCATCCATAACTCCAGTTCCAGAACACATATGAGAGTTAGCTTTCCATCACTGTGTCAAAATGCCTGAGATAACTGACACATAAGAAAGAAGGGCTGGCTTTGTGCCATGGTTTCAGAGATTTCAGTTTATGATCTCTTGGCCTTTTTGCTTTTGAGCTTGCTGTGAGGCTAAACATTATGGTGGGGGGAAACACACTGTGGAGCAAACTGCTTCACCCCATGTAGTCTGGGTGGGGATTAGTGGAGAAGAGATGGACAGAGAAGAGGGGGTCCCTTTGAAGGTCACCTTAAAAGGCAAGCTCTTAATGACTTTAATTCCTTTCACTAGGAGCAACCACCTCCAAATAGTGTCATGGGCTGGGGACCCGGTTTTCAACAAGTGGGTCTTTGTGGGACATTTAAAATCCAAATTATAGCAATATGCCATTTAAGAAGGACTATTTTGAACAGAAATAAAATTTCAAAACAGCAAGTTATATTTGGGCAAGTGGTATAAGACTTGCCTAGCATGTATGAGGGAGGCTCTATCTTTGTTCCGTGGCACCACCCAAAAAGTGGAGGGCACTCATGCTCCTTCTTTTAAAACCCTCTGTCTTAAGTTACTTTTCTACTGCTGTGACAAAGCACCATGACTGCATGGGTTTGAATGAGAATGGCCCTCACAGGCTTGTATGCTTGAATACTTGGTCCCCAGTTGGTAGAAATGTTTGGGAAGGACCAGGAGGTGTGGCCTTTTGGGAGGATGTATGCCCTTGGTGGTGGGTTTGAGGTTTCTAAAGCCCATGCCATTCCTAGTGTGCTCCCTCTCTCCCTTGTGCCTGTGGAACAAGAAGTATGCTCTTAGCTGCTGCTCCAGCACCATGCCTTCCTCCCTATCACCATGCTCCCTGCCATGATGGTCATGGACTCATCCTCTGAAGCTGTAAGCTTCTGATAAACTCTTTCTGCTACAAGCTGCCTTGGTCATGGTATCTTAGCACAGCAAGAGAAAAGTAACTAAGGCATCCTATATACAATATGTCCTCTACACTGGAAAATATTAGCCATCTTACCAATGAGGATGGGAATCTGAAGCAGATATATATATATATATATATATATATATATATATATATATATATATAAACTCATTAAGCTAACCCTTGTGATCCTCACTGCTTCTCCACAGAATTAGCCCTCCCACCCCTCAGCCTTCACACATTTTCAAAGATTGTACTCTTTAAGTCAGTGTATATGTGAACCTCGCTTCTTTGACTCTTGTGTGTGATGCTGCACCATGTAAAACTTATTTTAGTAAATATATGTGTAATTTACTTCTACTATTTATCTTGTGTCTCTTTCATTATTGGGCCCAGATAAAAACCATAAGATAGCAATAGTAAAAATGTGCCTTCCCTATAACCATTTACCAGGCACTGAGCTGAATGATAGACACATTCCTCCTTGCTTTTCATGTCAGTCCTTGGAAGTGGGGAATCATTGTCTTGTTTCATAAACAGGTAAACAAAGAGTCAGAGATTGTGAAAGACTTTCCAGGTTCACACAGCTATTCAAGGAAGGATTTGGATGTGAACCCATGTCTATCTCAGCCTCTACATGAACTTGGCCTGCAGTGATTCTACATTCATGCCTCTGTGAAGGTGGCATCTTCTAAAGGAAGAAGCTGTTGTACAACATACAGAATGTTTATGTATTTTTACCTCCAAATCACAGGTTGAAATCTAAATTCCCTGTGTAAGGCTACAGGGAGAGAAAATTCCAGGAGGAAGTGTGGTCACTGTGTGGAGTCATTGTACTCTGCCATCTAAGGATACCACCAAAGACACAGCCCCATGCCACCTAGGGCCCTCACTAGAACCCCACCAAAGACACAGCCCCATGCCACCTAGGGCCCTCACTAGAACCGGACTACATGGCACTCTGATCTTGAATGTCCAGCTTCCCAATCTGAACAATCCATTTCGGCTGTTTGTGCATCTCCAGTCTATGGCCCATGCTATGGTAGCCCTAACTGATGGCATGGTTAACACAGAGTGAGATGTATGGGAGAAGTAAGGCTAGTGCCTTCACATTTTGGGTTATTTTTCCCCTGAATGATCTTCATTTACTCTTCATTTAAAACATTTAAATCAGATTTTTTGCCTGACATATAAAATCATAAAATGATACATGCCAATGGGGAACCATGAGAAGCTTTAATAGGTTTACCTTGCTGAAATGATTTATCTTCCTGCCTTCACCTCTTCAGTGCTGGGATCACAAATGTGTACCATCATGCCTATGGTGTGTGTCTTGGGAGGAGACATATGCATGCATGTGGAGATGCTGTGTGACACTATTCCTGGGGAGATATGAACATACAACTATTCACCCCACATAGGGAGTCAAGGGCAAACCAAATTAACAATTTCACTACAGACAACCAGGCTAGAGTTTAGTGGGCTAGTGACATGAGAATGGGTGAGGGGTTACATAGAGAAGCAGGGATGTACAAGCCTGTCTCACTGTGAATAGTCTTTTCATGTTGGGTCCTTATGGCTATAGTCAAGCACTATACTGGCAGAGATACCTCTTAGCCTTATACCATGTCTGGTTTATATGCAGTGCTGGAGGTCAAACTGAGGGCATCACACACACTAGACAAACACTCTGCAAACTGAGCTGCATCCCAGCCCCAAAGCTGCTGGCTGCAGATTTCCTTATGTACTCATCAACTCCGGACAGGGGCTCTTCATCACCTGGCAGCTGGGAACAGTGCTACAATAAAGCTGGGGGAGCAGACGGTCACAGAGTGGGATTGCTGGACGATAAGGTACTTCAAGTTTCACTGTTCTCGGGAACTCCATACTGCTTCCATACAGGAGATCACTGTTGAACAATGAGAAGGAAGGTTCGCTTGAGGAAGCAGACAATAGACTAAACATTTAGAGAATGTTGGGTAGTCTGAGAGATTTGAGCATGTGGCTTGTCAAAAGAAACCTAGACTGGAGGGTGCAAACCCATCCGTACTGTGGAAGATGGCTCATGCACTTGTGTGTTCCCACACTGGACCCTAAGGCCACTACCTCCTGTGTCTCAGCTCCCTAGTCAGCCAGGCTGACCTACTGGGCTAACCTTATGCCTTCCCAAACACAGCCTCAGCATTGGCTGTTATGAGTCATATTCCTGAGCTCTCCTTTCTTTTTCCATGAACCAGGAAAGAACATGAAGTGTGCCTAGTATCTTCCAGTACAGGATGAAGGCTTCCAAGAAAAGTTCTTTCCCTCTCTGCTCTCCCACACCAAGGGCAACAGCTTGTCAAGGGTGAGGGAAGGTGAACACACTGGGGTAGAGGCTTAATAGATGAAAAACTCAAATCGATAGAAATCATAACTTCCTGCTCAGCCCTCTGTAAATATTCACTGTGTTCCTGGAACAAAATCTTTCCAAGATCTACGTGTGGTCGTTCTACCTGCATAAATAGGAAGTCAGCATTCATTCTTGCTGAGGTTCTGCTGGAGGTGCCTGCCTGTAAGGAGTCCTGCTTGCCACAATGGTGGGTGACTGATTTCATACATAGGACTTCTTTCAGTCTTTAGTTGAAAATGGTTCTTTTCTTAAAGTGTCTGTTCTATGAGGTAGAATCAGGAATGAATGGGGCTCCCCACAGAAGGACAAGAGGAAGGAAGCAGAAGCTGGGGAGGAGGGCCACATGAGGGTGGAGAGGGACTCAGGAAGGGACCCTCACCTCACCTCAGGACAAATGTACGCTATGAAACCCTCCTCAGACAGAGCTGGAGAGGTAGGACAGTGGTGGGTGGTGTCCTCCCAATCTGTATTCAGACCCCCTTCTCACCCTCCTTCCGTGTGTGTGTGTGTGTGTGTGTGTGTGTGTGTGTGTGTGTGTGTGTAGGTGTGTGATGTCTCTTTATTGCCCTTGCTACTTTTATAGTGTGACTTTATGTTCTTCAATGTTATAGTGAAATTATTTCATACATTATTTTCCAAAGTTTGATACATCTTAGCTTCACTTATTTAGTCATGTAAAGACTAAAATCTCTTTTATCCTTAAAATGATATGATTTCTATATTTTCTGTACTTACTTTATAATATTATTATTATAAAAACTTAATTTTAGGTCCTTTAAGGAAACATTTAAATTAGCTTAATACAGAATATGTCTTCCCATCAAACTTTGAGCAACCACTTTCCCAAGACTATTTGAGAACTATAGGAAAAGAAAGAACCGGGGCAGAGGGCACATGGGAGAAACTACGGAGGTGGAGATGGCTCTTCTCATGTCAACGGGCACAAGGAGGATGAGCCCTGGCACAAGAGCCCCCAGGCCTCTGAGAACAATCCAGGACAGCGTGGGGGAACTGCTGCTGCTGCTGCTGCTGCTGCTGCTGCTGCTGCTGCTGCTGCTGCTGCTGCTGCTGCTGCTGGAAGACCCTGCCTCAGCCAGTGATGAGGCTCCCAGCATCCTCCTTCCCACTCCCAGCCCACAGCCAGCCACTCTGACAGTGAACTTGCTTTTGTGTGGGGAGGAGGGGCCAAAAACCCTATTTTTGGCATAGGGTTTCTCACCGTAGTCAGTCCTGGCTCTCCTGGAACTCATTCTGTAGACCAGGCTGGAACTCAGATCTGCCTGCCTCTGCCTCCTGAGTGCTGGGATAAAAGGCGTGTGCCACCACACCCGACAGACTTTCCTTTTTCCTGACTGTCTTGTGTCTTAGTCTCTGACTGCCAGGCTAGGGTACCTGGCAGTTGCTCCACACTCTACCCTTCCTGCCAAATTTCAGCAGGGATCTTATAGGACACGCAGTCAAGCATGACCTTCAAGAATCACTCATTCTCCACTCCCAACCTTTCCCTGCATTACAGAAAGCTCTGCTGGGCAGCCTCCTGTTCCTTGCTACCTTGGTGACAGCATGCAATGCAGGCTGCACTTTTCAACAACGTGAAAATCTTCCAGACCAACCGCCTGATGGTAAGTCCTGGGTTTTCCAGTATTTTTAATGCCATTCCAGCCTGATAGATACAACCTGTAGATATGACCTAGTATATATGGCAGATGGGGAAGCCTTGGGATATATATACACTGGAAGAAGTATTTGTGAAGATACAGAAACAGAGTAAGGAGGTTGTTCTCAATTTAGCTAGATGAGCTTTGAAACACCACAATCAGGCCCCATTTAAGAACAGCTGAATGAGAACCTCTGGGTTTTCACATGCAGTCAGGGTTAAGAAGCAGCGTTCAAATTTTAATGTACATGATCATCCCTGCAATCTAGTTTAAATGTAGTGCAGGCCTGCATGCATGGGTGGGTGGGTGCATGCATGAATGCTTGTGGTGTGAATGTTGCTGGAGAATCTCCGGCAACTAGTGCTTTAATACTGTACTAGTTTCATTTTGCTGCTGTGATGAAACACTATAATCAAAAGAAATTTAGGGGAGGAAAGGATTTATTTGCCTTTCACTTCTAGACCACAGTCCATTGTTGAGAAAGTGGGGGAGGGACTCAAGCAAGAACTTGAAAAAGTATTCCTTGGATGACGTTAGGCTGTGTCAAGCTGATAATTAAAACCATATATGATGGGGCTGGAGAGATGGCTCAGGGGTTAAGAACACTGGCTCAGCACCCACATGGCAGCTTACAACTGTTGGTAATTCCAGTTCCAGAGCATCTAGTGCCCTCCTCTGCTCTCTGAAGATATGATGTAGTAGCCTTACATACATGCGGGTGCAGAACTCTTACATACCTGCAGGAGAAAAATTCATATCCCTAAAATAAACATGATTTTTTTTAAAGTTCAATACAATTCTTGGGTACATAGGAAGTTCAGTACCAGCCTAGAATACATGATGTGCTCACCCCACCCACAAAACAAAACAAATAAAAATGAAGTAAACAAGAGAGTCTGGGCTCTACCCACAGATTCTGATTTTGTTTTCTTGGATGGGGATCAGGAACAGAGGGCTTGCTTGTTTATTTGCTGCTGGGTATTAAACCCATGGCTCTGTACTTTTTCAATACTTGTTCTACCACTGGGCTAAACCCCAGTCTGTGGGTGATTTTTAAGCACCCACAATGCTTCACATGTGCATCCCCACCTGAGAATCAGTGACACAAATCAATACTAGTAGAGAAGTGAGCATTTTGTTCAGGACAACCAGAGAGAACTCACAGGGCCCCCTTTGCCAGTCACTCCTAATAGCTACTGGATTAAAAAGGAAGGACTTATTTGTTCTTCAATGCCTGTTCTGAAATACAATCTAGAAAGAATTTAAGCTCACTTAAAAAACATACCCCTGAGCATGGTAGCTCAGGCCTTTAAACCCCAGCAGAGACAGTTGAGTTGGAAGACAACCTGCTCTACACAGTGATTTCCAGCTAGCCAAGGCTGCATAGAAACACCTTACAAAAGCAAAGACACTCTCTGAGGCAGGTGCTTCAGTGTGCTGGGCTTTGGCCATCTTGACTCAAAAGCACTGTCTCTGACAGCTCTACAATTGTCCATCATCATGTGCCAGTGGCTGGCTCAGTGTCCCTACAAGCTTTGTTCCTATGGTGTGACCTGGGGATTTGCATCATTTTAGGATGCCTGGATTCTGCTGGTATCAAACACTCCGTGGGCGCTCAGTGGACAGTCGACTGTAAGAAGTGTTTCTGTGAAAAGGCGGGAATTAGTTGCTGCCCCCAGTAAGTCTCAACCACTGATTCTGGAGGGTCCCATATAACCACTCTTCAGAGTCTCTGCTTTGTTTTGTTTTATGTTTGGTCAAGGTCTCCTTAAGTTGTCCTGCTGTCAAACTCCAGGGCTCAAGAGATCCTGCTACCTCAGTCTCCTGTGTAAGCTGAGTGTGATGTGAGCACTGTGTGAGAAGCATAGACAGACATGTTCGCATCTATCCACAAGGCTAGAGTTCATTGAATAACAGCAAATTCATAAGCTACATCGATTTCTTAACAGAAATATAGATTTATTTACGTGCACACAAGTGTGTGTGTGTGTGTGTGTGTGTGTGTGTGTGTGTGTGTGTGTGTGTGTGTGTTTGGTTTAGGGACTACAGTTTGCCAAGCAGTCCCAATTTCCCATGATACCCAGTCACTGGCAAACAGACTTTTCTTCACTGCAACTTTAATTACACCATTAACTCTCTGATCATGCTTCACACATCACACAGTGTCTGTACATATGTGTGCATGCATGTAGGTTACAAAATGGCTAGAGAAAGCTGACAGAGCACAGCAGAGCTGGAAGAGCTGAAAGGGGGCTGGGGCAGGAGAAATATGACAGAGATGCAAAGAGAATCTGTTGGAGGTGCACCTAGAGGGGACCTCAGGGTCGAGTTGAGCTGCCCAGTGAGGAGGTGGACTACTGAAGCCACACAGGCTAACGAATGAGTCCAGAAGGACCAACAGGTGGACGAACTGTCAGCTGCTTAGCAGCAGCAGGAACTGAGACAAACTGAAGCCTGGGGAGAGTCTGGAGTTCTCCTCTTTCAGGCCTCCCCCTTTAAAAACACATTAGTGTAAACATGTGTATGTGATTCAGTGGGAGTGGTGCTTGAGGAGGTCAGAGGACAACTTTCTGGAGTCAGTTCTCTCCACATCTGCTCCTGAGCCTGTCAGAATATCCCAGTGTCCTTCAGTGCATGCAGGGTAGAATACAGGACCCACGTTAGAAATGGTCTCTGTGGCCCCATGGCACAGACAGGTGCAGGTGCCTGGAGTCTACACTTGGGACATTAACAGCCCAAGGAAGCCCTTAAGTCGGTGAGGAGAGCCCCAGGCAATTGGAGTGTGTGTTGTCTGCTTCTTGCACAGAGCATGTCTGAGCAGCAGGACTGGGTGAATAAGTGTTTTTTTCCTACTAACAGGTCTTATCTTGTCTCATTGACAGAACCCTTATACCCAAGGGCTATGACCAAGAGAAGTGTAAGACAATATTCCATCAAAAGGAGTGCAGATATACTGTGGTGGAAAAGAACAACGAAGGAATCATCTGTCCTGTTGATAGTTGGACATTGTAAATGTGCTTCTAGTGGGTCCCAAGTTGAGCAACATTTGAATATTTGTATGATTTAAATTTACCAATTGTAGCCTGGGTGGTTGTGGCCTATAATCCCAGCACTGGGAGGCAGAGGCAGGCAGATCTCATGCTAGCCTGGTCTCTAGAGGGCAACACAAAGAAACCCTGTCTTGAAAAACTAAAATAAATAAATAAATTTGCCAATCATGTTTATATTAAATTAATGCATGTTATAAATCAAACAAACATTTAAAGGAGACAAAAGGAAAACCAAACATGTTTTTAAAAAATCAACCCAACAATAACAGTTACAAATTACAACTCTAGGATTAGTTATGTGTGGCACACAGCCCATCTAATATAGACTGACTTGAAAGTGTCACGACATTGATTCTGACATTTATTTTCTCAATACTTTGTCAAAAATTGTAACATTTTCCCCCTAAGTTAAAATGCATCACTCACCATTTGTAAGTGGTCACTCAGTGGAGATAAAAACATCAGATTGTTCTGCAGCCACCATCTTGTCTAATCTCAGAGCTCTCCATCAGCCCTGTCTTAGTTAGGGTTCTGTTGCTGTGAAGAGACGCCATGACCACAGCAACTCTTATAAAAGAAAGCATTGAACTGGGGCTGGCTTACAGCTTCAGAAGTTTAGTCCAGTACTGTCATGTCAGGGAGCATGGTGGCATGCAGGCAGAAGTAGCTGAGAATTCTACATCCAGATCCACGGGCAGCAGGAAAAAAGAGTGAGCTACTGGGTCTGGCTGGGCTTCTGAAGCTCAAAGTCCTCCCCCAGTGACACACTTCCTCCAACCAAGCCCACCTATCCCAACAAGGACACACACCTCCTAATCCTTCTAGGTAGTGAGTGCCACTCTCTGGTCCCTAAGCACTCAAATGTATGAGCCTATGCGGGATACTCTTATTCAAACCACTACAAGCCCTAAAGGAAAAGGATTTTACCTGTATGACTGTTTTGTCTGCACATGTACATGTGTAGCATGTGCATGCCCGGTGCCCTTTGAGGTCAGAAGGCATTGGAACCCTGGAGCAGGAGTTATGGATGGTTGTGAGCCACCATATAGGTGCTGGGAACCAAAACTGGGCCCTCTGCGAGAGCAGTAAGTGCTTTTAACCTCTGAGACCTCTGAGGCGTCTTTCCAGCTACCTACCATAAGGTAAGGAAATGTTCTAAACTCTAACTCTCCACTGACTTTGTCTCCAGCCTCTAGGCATCCTTTTTTTTTTTTTTTTCTGTCCTTAAGAATTTGACTGCCCTATTAGCAAGGGTAGAGTTGGGTAGGAGAAATAGTAGCTAGTATTCTACAGCACAGTAGAAGAACAACTCTACTGATAATAATCTTCTGATACCTCAGTCTCCCACATCTCTCAAACCCCCAGTAGTGGAGGCTGGCTTTAAACTTCCATCCTCACGCTTTTTTCTTCCAAGTGCTGGGATTGCACCAGGGTACTACCACACCCAGATTAACTATTTCAAAGATAGTTGATGGGCTTTTCTATATTATCAATACAAATAAATGATAACTATAGCAATTACCCACATCTGATCCACACATTGTTTACATGCATTGAAAGTTAACACTGTACCTCATAGATCTGTACAATTACTATGTGTCAATTCAAAATGTTTTTTTTTAAAGAATTTGCCTTGATTTCCATAACAGAGTCATGTGATATACGGTCTTTTGTGTCTTCTGACATGTATTTTTTTTTTTTTCCCGAGACAGAGTTTCTCTGTGTAGTTTTGGTGCCTGTCCTGGATCTCGCTCTGTAGACCAGGCTGGCCTCAAACTCACAGAGATCGCCTGGCTCTGCCTCCCGAGTGCTGGGATTAAAGGCGTGCGCCGCCAGTGCCCAGACTGACATATATTCTTGCATATGAATATTACAGCGAAATAAGATCTACCTTGTGTGAGCATTTGGTGCGAGAGGCATGAAAAGGACCCAGATTTGGGACAGGGAAAATTACCACTCTCCAATAGTCCTAAAGAGGCTTTGCGCAGGCGCGGACGGAAATCTCGCGAAACTGTCAGAACACTAACCAGAGGCGTGGTGGGGAGGCCGTGCTATCGCGAGAGCTCCGGGCTCTGGAGCCGATCCTCGGGTGGCGAGGTGTCTGGGTCGGTCCAAGGTCCCCTCGGCTCACCGGAAGAAGCGCTGCCAGCTGGTAAGGACGAGTGTGGCCGGCGGGGCGGGCGCGCTTCCTTCGGCTGCCCTTCGGCCCTCCTCGCCCCGGCCCGTGGCCTGTCCTGCCCCCCTTCCTCCCGACACACGCGGGTCCCGGGCCACCATCCTGCCTGTCCGCGAGCCGGGCCTGGACCCCTCTCCCTCCCCCGTGTCACGCCAGGCCTGGACCCCTCTGCCTCCCCGGTGTCACGCCAGGCCTGGACCCCTCTCCCTCCCCCGTGTCACGCCAGGCCTGGACCCCTCTCCGTCCCCCGTGTCACGCCAGGCCTGGACCCCTC